GTCTCTTTGCTTCCTTGTGGGATACCTGTGTCTCCCGCTTCTCTCCCCATCTTGCAGGAGGGCAGTGAGTTCTGGTTGACTCCATGAGCGGATTCTTGGAGCACTCAAGGCTGCGGCGCGAGCAGAATGGGAGCTGGGGCTGAACTCAAGGGAGCCCTTTGGGCAGGAGGGACTTGGAGAGATCATCTGATGTCTCTGTGTTAAATCTGCCCCGCTGCAGGAGCCGCGCTGCCCTTGCCCAGTTGTGCTTCCAAAGTCTGCTCGTGCAGGACAGTGCAGGAAGTATGAGAGGAGTTCAGCTCAGGAGAAAATGTTTTGGTGTTAAAGAACCCACAATTTGCTCAAAATCCTCTACCAATCGCTAGCACTAGAAATAAAGAAAACTTACTTGTATGGAATCTGGTCCACACACACACACACACACACACACACACACACACACACACACATATTTAGCAGTGTGGGCAGATGACACCCCATGTAGTTTTCTTTGTTCCAAGACCTTGGTACAGCGCTGTTGTTTGTACCTCAAAAGTCACACATGAAGCTTCGTCAGGCTGGAGGTCACTTGTGCTTGGGCGGTGTGCGTCAGTGGCCAAGCTGAACAGGGATCTGGGGACTKCATCCGGTGTTTTTCCCCACTCCTTGCCCTGTGTTTAGATTTGTACGGGGTAAGTTGGAAGGAGTGTGCAAAATAACTATGCGTAACTTCCTATACCACTGAAATGAGAGCTGTTATTAGAGGCTAAAGCCATGCACCTTCTGTAACCCATTACGTCAGTAGCTGTGCCAGTCTTGCCCCATAGAGAAAGCATCACGATACAGTGGAGGAAGAGCTGCCTCTTGGGCGCCGTGTTTGCAAGGGCCGATTCATGCAGATCCTCTGACTCTGAATTGAAGTATCTGTGCAAATCTCCCTCCTCACTTGCACATATGCTGGTTTCCTTATTTGTCGTCTTGTTGCCTAAAAAAACCCGCCGATGCTTTCATACAAGCTCCCCTTCAGACAGCTCTTATTCAGTGGGCTCGTAAACAGACTTGGTGAGCGTTCCTGCCTCTCCGGGAGACGACAGATGGCTGCGATAGGAAGCTACTACAGGGAGTTTGACTGCTGGGGGCATGTGCATCACCACACTTCGGAAGTGGTGCAGCTTTCTTGTACAGGCATGGCTTGTTCTTGCTCTACCTGCTTGGACTTCTCTGCCTTGTGCCCAAGCCAGGCTGCCTGCAGCCCCTTTGCTGGACGGCCACCTGCAGAAGACAGACCTCAAAAACCTGATCCGTGCCCAACGCCAGCCCCAGCGCGCCAGGGCGGTTGAGAAGTCTGCTTAACCGTGGGGAATTATGACACTTGTCTGCAAGAATGGAAACTGGAGATTGGTGTAACCAAAATGAAGAGTACAATTGCCCCTCTAATACACAAAATTTACCCAAACTGTTTTTTCTTTTTCCCTGCCCTTTGCCCGTGGCTTGTGTGTTTCAAGTAACCCACTCYGAGCTGTGGAGGGGGATAAGGTGGTTCTGTCATCACTTTGTGCAGTTGTTCAGATCAACTAGTGTCTTTATCCCAGCTGCTTCTCCTTACTTTAGGAATATAGAATATGAGTATTATTCCCTTTGGTGCTRGATATAAATGTTAAAGCAGAAATGGTTTGCAGATGCTCCATAAATAATTGCAGATACTCTAAAAATAATAAGATACAAAGGTCAAGGTGGTAGAAACAGTCAGTTTTGTAATTCAACAAGTTAAACCTCACAATGAAAAGTTTTTAGTTAAACTTGAAAAATCATACAGCAAATAGTTGTACTAATTATAACAGTTCTTGCCAAGCTGTGGCCATTTGTAAGGTGCTCCAACTCGGTAAATTGTTGAAGTTTGTAGTGACAGAAGAAGCCTGTGACAGTTCCCCTACCAGGTTAGCTGTATCAGTGCTTCCTTTCTTTGAGCAAGTGTGATTTGGGGAGGAGGAACAAGTCTGGCAGTCTCCCATTTCCCTGTGGTGAGGGCAGTGCCGTGGTCTGGGCACTGGAGAGTGTCTGAATGTCTGAGGGAGGTCCTGAGCCAAGCTGCACATGAGGGCCCCGGGGCTGGGGGCTGCTGCAGCTTCCTGGCCAAGCCGGGTCCTGCTGCTCAGAGGCAGGTCGGTGTCTGGGCACGTTGCCCACCACAGTCCTCTGGTGCTGACCCTGGTTAMTCCTGCACCTTTGCAGCCATCCATGGGCTTGACAGGGGAATTTGGAAGGGGGGAAATCCATCCTCTGTTGGCTGAGGGCTGAGCTAGACCCCTTCTCTTGAAGGGTCTGAGAGAGAGACGTGTGSCCCTCAAAGTCCTGTTCTCCTGGCCATAGGACGTTGCGAAGGAGTCCTTGTTCTGTGTGTGCTCTTTAAGGTGGTGCAGGAGCCAATGCTACCCTGCTCCAAGCGGAGACACCAATGACATAATGGGATTAGAGCCTTTGGAGAAGAGGGCGTGAAAAACTGGCATTAAATCTGTAGTCACTTCTCTACTGGTGGAGGAAAAAAAGTGTATGCATGTGATGTGTACCTGCAGCAGAAGCAAAACAGCGTATATCAGCTAGGTGTGTCCTTATGTAGGGGTGGCTCGAGCACTTTTATTGCTGAGGGGATTTCATAATGCCTTTTATCCCATCTGTATCTCCGTTCCAGAGTGGTTTAAATTTCCAGAGTTCTTTTCTGAAGGGTGCTTTAGTGTGTAGATGGCAGGCTTTGAAGTAGAGCCCAAAAAGGGAGGAAATGTCCTGTTACTCATACTTTAGTTTGAAATCCCTAATCTTTAGCTGCTTAAGTCTCATGCTTCAACCAGTTCTATTACAATTTAGCTAAGCAATGGCTTCAATAAATCAGGTAAATACCTTGATGGAACCTGGACTTGCTCTCAGCTGAGCCTTTATGAAGTGCTACAGATGCTTCCCAAGTCCCTGCCTTAAGGAGCGTCCTCTCCAAGCCRTGCTTGCTGCCAGGAGCGTTGGGAGACAGAGCAGCAACTCGTGAGCAAGTCTGCTGGAGTCTGGAGCATCTGGGGAGAGGGTCCTGGATTTAGGGCTGGAAGGAAGCGAAACAATCGCTAAGCTTGAAATGGAGTGGCTGTTCTTTAGATACCTCACTCGCTGTGGTGAGGGAAATAGCCTGTGTCCAAGAGCCACTGAAGCCGAGTGTTTCCCAGGTTGGGTCAYCCTGGAAGATGGCCAAATGCTGTTGCCAGCATAGCTGGGCATGGCGTTGGGACGTGTTTTCTCCCTTCTTTKGCTTGTGTTTATTATGTTGTTGAAGCTTGCTAGCCCTTGAGCTAAAGGGATGGCACTGTCCCGCAGGACTGCGATGCCCTCTGGCTGGATGGGCAGCAGTGGGTTGGTGCAAGGCGGGTTGCAGGCAAGTGGGYGCCTGTGAATGGGTTCCCAGTTTCTTCCCCAAGGTCTACCCCCCTTCCCATCACCTGGAGCATGATCTTCCTAACTATAGGCTCGAATCTCTAGCAAAGTGTTGCTCGTGCTTCCCTAACTGTTGTTGGTTGGAGAGCAAGAAAAGCCTTGTTGCACGGATTTCTAAATCACGAGGGTTAGGTGTCACAACTAGAACGGAGTTTTCTTGCTGTAGCATCGCAATCAAATACCTCATCCTTTGCGTGTTACTGCGCTGTGGTGTGGCCAGTATTCAGCCCTGAATCGGCCCTTCCCGGGCAGCCTCACCGCGTGCTGTGATACCCCCTTGTCTATAGCTAGCAGGTGTAGAAGCTGAAATGGTGGCCTCARAACATTTCCTGGCTGTTGTTACCCAAACCCCAGTGTCCCGGCTGCTGCCTGCTTGCCAGGTGCTCTGGGTGATGGGCACGCGGTGACGGATCAGATCACCTGCAGACAGGTCTCCTTCGGGTGCCCCAAGGGGGTTCCTGCTGCACCTCCGTGCTGGGCGGTCCCGCCGTCAGCTCCGCGGCGTCACTGAGGGGAGGCCTGGCCTGCTCCTCCTGGCTCCGTTCTCTGAAACATTGAGCAAGCCCCGTTGTTTAAAACATGTCTAGGTGCAGGGCTCAGCAGTGGAGGCACAGGGCAAGGTTTTCCAACCTGACTGTGAGGGCAAGCGGTAGGAAAATCCCTGGTGCTGTGGAGCTGCTTGCAGAGCCAGGGGAGCGAGTGGAGGACTGAAAGAGCARGAGTGGAGGGACAGGATGTGATGGTGGCGGGGAAGGTGAGAGCAAAAGGAAGGGCTGCTCCATGCGCTTGCTTGGAATGTAGTCAGAGACGCAGATTCYGGATGGAGGGATTGCTCTTCAGGGAGCAAACTGAGATGGTGAGGTACAGGTGTGGTGGGAGCCCTGCAGTCACCTGTTAAATCAGGGGCATGTTGAGTCACTCGGGTTCCTCAGCATGTGAGGAAGAATCCTAGAAAGACTTGAGGCTTCACACATCCACAGGTGAAAAAGTTGAAGCTCTGGAAGCTCCATTTCCTTCCGATGCACGTGTTGTAAACAAGTTATAAGTGCTGCTGGTATGGCGCTTACAGAGGGGTCTCAAAGTTACTGGAAAGTATTTAAGCAGCTTTCTGGTTTTGAGACCTTCTTCTGCCCCATTCTAAAAACATTGGTTTTATTGGCTGCTAATGGGCTTTAGGATACCTGTGGGGTTATTTTATTATATACTCAAAACTAAGTTGAGAGCTGTTTTAATAGTCATAAACAAACATTTTCAGAGAAATGGTTTTGAAGTCTCTCTCATCCTGCAAAGCTTTTGAAGAAGCACAGTGGCTTAGAAAACTGGCATGAAAAAAGCATCTAAAACTATCTTTTGAAATAACAATTAAATAGGCTCCTATTTTTTTATTCTTCCTCCCCTTTCTTAGATATTGAAAGGTTTTAGCAAACTCTCTAAGAGCTTTAGTGAAATTGCAAGTTACACACCCATTCCCAAGCGTCCCCTCTCTGTCCTGGGTGCCTTAATAGCCTATTAGCGAGCATCCATTACAGATATTTTAATGAAGCAACTAATGGATTTGTGTCTTTCTTTTTCAGTGGTCACAGGAGCTACTGATGGGATTGGAAAAGCCTACGCAGAAGAGGTAGGGATGCTCGTCGCTTGGGGCTCCACCCGCATCCTTGGCAAGCTGGCATATGCGGTTCTGTGGCTGTAGAGCATCAGGTTATGTCCKCTCAGCTTACCTTAACACAGGAACGTGTGAAGGACAAGCTGCAGTTGTCTCTCTGCAGCTCTCTGCCAAGAGCATGTCCTGCTTTTGTTCCCTTCATTTGGCTTCTCTCTTCAGCCTTTACCAAGTCCTTTTAGTTTTACTTCAAACTTCTTAAAAGAATTTCCCTGTCTCAAAGCTGGGGGTTTCCTTTTGCAATTATATGCCCTGTAATACTCTGCAGTCTAGGAAGTTCCTGAAATCTAGAATTTGACTCTTACACTGTATTTTGGCTCTTGTTGGATATATGGACTCCAAATGTTGGTTTGGATTCATTGCTTAAGACAGAAGATGCCTGTTAGTACAGGATATTTTAGCCTATATAAGCCTATAAGCACATATAAGAACACTATGACAGACAGAGCTGACTATAACTGTTTACAGCAAAAATAACTTCCAGTTCCAGCATTAGTGTTGAAGAAATCACCTTTCCAAGTGGTCTCTGAAACACTAGGATCACTGCTTGAAGAGATCAGCTGTGAGAGATTCTTTTTTTTTTTCTTTTCTCCTGGGATGTTTGATTCCCCAGAGACCACCAGGAGACCTGCCTCTTTCCAGGGCTGGCTTTGCCCTTTGGATTTCCCCTGTATCGCTTCAGGGACCTTCACTTGTGTTATGTGGAAAATAGCACCTCGTGCCACTGGATCAGCATAAGGGGGGTGGCACAGGTGGTAAATAAGCCTGATATCAGGAGCACCTGATTCTCACGTGGAGCTGACAGCTTGTACATGCCAGATATCCCAGTTTTGTGGCACCGAAGCAAATTATGCAACACTTAAATAAGTGCCTGGACCAAGCAGAACGAGGTCACTGTGCCCAGGGCGTAGTGCTACTGAGACAAAATCCTCTTGTGTGGAAGACACCCCCTCAACATCGTGGGAGATTGGTTTCTGTGCACACCAAGATGACTTGTGGTGTGTGGGTATTCTGAAGTGTGGATTTTTGGTTTGTTTCTCTTCTCATTGCCTGAACCTACTATGTGATGTGGTCTGGACTTTCTGTGTTAGATGGTGCGAGCCAGACCACAGYTTGCTTTGCCCTGCTGGTGCCTCCAAGACAGAGGGTGCCTTAGAAGACGATTTTGTGCTGCTGGCACCCTATTAAAAAAAGCTGAGCATAGTTGTGAGGTCTGTCTGGGAAGCACTGACTCATTCAGCTTTGCTTCTAGTAGTTGCTGTAGGCACCAAGTACCCCAAAGGGTACAAATGCTCATTCTCAGGCTATAGAATATAAGACATTTTATCCCTTGACAGTTTAGTTGGATGAAGAACTTGAAGTCAGGAGTGAATATGGGGTCATGAAATAACTGAAACGACTTCTAAAAAACTTTCAGTTCTCGCTAGGGATGTGCTCGTAAGACTGCCAGCAGTCTTAACTTTCTCCCTGGGATTCCCTTCAGTGCAGTATAAATGTCACTGACACACAGCTGCTTGGGCACTYGTGGCTGCAATTATAATCATGCAGATTACCTTTTCCTGGAAGAGTTTAGGGAAGAAAGGCAGTCTCCTTGTCAGAAGTTTGACGTAGTCATTGATAAGAGATGAAAGGATATTATTTGTTTGTGTTTTCCCTGGTGATGTTCTGTGTTGGGTTGCCTTCATTTTTGAGCGTGTTTGTTTCTGCATGCTCTATAAGTAGAAATTTCCTCTTGCAAGTTTGTCTCCTTTTGCAGATTTCAGATGCCCTTCCCACAGTGCATCCTTTTGGTATGAGTGAAGCATCGTGAAGTTTCTTACATGGTCCTTCCTGTGGGGAAGGCCCCCTAAATATGGGGGAGTGTCTACTAAAGGCGTGCACTGCCGTGGCTTTCCTCCCTTTATATTAGAGACTCTGTATAATTGGATGCCTTTTCTTGAAAGGCAGAGCATCCACTTCATGAGAACCCCAAGACTGACTGCTGGAAGAAAGCACACTGCMTGTCAGCAGTTTGTAGCCTCTACCCCTATGGAGCATCTCAGGGTTTTCTGCTCTATGGAGCTTCCCATATGGGGCTTCTACGGGTCAAATTCATTGAAGACTGATGCCGTTAGTCATGTTGGTGCCACAGCAAGCAGTCTCTTTCTGAGGCTGGGGTAGGAGGTTATTTCATTGGCAGAGTCTGAGATGGGATCATCGCAGATATTTCAGACTTAGGAGGAGGTTATTATCAGGTTGTCCTTGATGTTACAAATGAAGATACTTTTGGGTAAACTTTCTGCCTTAGCTGCCTTGATCCCATGAAATAGGAGAGGGTTATGTGAACTCCTCCTTTTCTTTCCCTTCCAAAGACCAAGCCTGCAACTGTGCAGAGTATATTGAAATTTTCCCATGACTTTGTCTTCTCTTGGCTGAAATAAGTTAGACARCTTGGATATTAGATAGCTGCCCACCTGAGAAGAAAAGAGTTTGTTTAAGTAAGGGAAGACATGAGCTGTTGAAGGGAGCTTGTCTAAAGGTGGGCGTGTTCATCCCTTTAGGCCATCGTCCTCATAATGCTAGATAATATTCTTGAACTGAATGTTTGAGTTGTGCATGATCTTGAGCTTGGTAGCCGTTAGTAGCTCCTGTGGCAAGTGTCTTCATTCTCATTTTAAGCTCGTGAGAAATGTGGCCTGATGATATTTCTGCACAGCTATCACCTGTGCTAGTGGAATGCCGATCTTGTGATACGACCCGTATGGGACATTGCCCGTGAACTCTGGTGGCTGGAGATCGTCGTGCTCATCTGTGAAAGAAAGCCTCTGTGTTGTGTGACTTGTGCTAGAAAGGTAGATGAGGTTCAGGCACCTCCACATAGTTCCTATGCTGTGTTTCTTTTTCTTTTTYAGATGTTTAAGATGCAATCCCATTTGCTTTCTAAGGCTGTGAGCGAGTCCTGTTGGGAGAGTGAGTTAAGTTACCTGCTTGTTGTATGTAGGCATTACATGTCTGAAGGGCAGTGTCACTAGGCACTGTGGATGTCAAGTGGATGTATTCTTTTTACTTTTCACTGGAACAGACACTTAAAACAGTCACAAAGATTGTTTGTTTTCATTGCTGAGTCAGATCTCTAGCTGTCTTTCTGCAGATACTGTTAAATTGGATTGTTAGATCATGTTACAAATCTGCAGAGGTTTTGAGGACCAGTTTTGAGGACCAGAATATGCTCTGATGACAGCTTAAGTTATATGGATAGCTTCCTAAAAAGAACTGCATGAGTAAATTAACCTTTTTACCTATGATTAGTACAAAGTGAAGGTAGACCCTGAATCATTCCCAAGCGAACTGCTAAAGGAAGGAAGTCCTGAGTGCTGGGGTGACTGCAACACAGCTGCTTGAGTGGCAATAGATACCTCAGCTGGATGTTTTGAACCTGCTTATGGGTAATATGGCTAATATAAACATTAATATGGGTAATAACTTTGCCTTGACTTGCAGCGTTGTGGTTTGAAAGCTTTGTTAAAGACGATTTATGACTGTCGCTCTATCTCTTATTTTGTTCTGTTTCAGTTAGCAAGACGTGGAATGAAGGTGGCTCTGATCAGCAGGTCAAAGGAAAAACTAGACCAGGTTGCCAGCGAAATAAGTAAGTTGAAAACTTCTTCACTAAACTTCATATGTATGCTTATATATAAATGAAGGTAATTGCATATGAATTTCATATGTACTGATATATGAAACCTAAATATCAAAAATTGCTTCTTGTGCACACTGCAAATGTAACAGACCTATATATAGGTAAAAGGCTTGGCTAATCGATTTTATGGATGTCRTTATCTACTTCCCGAGAAGGGCATTTAATTCTGGAATAGAAAATTACACAAGTGGTGCGTTCTTAAATAAGAATAACCCACCATATCAGCCCAGAATAACAGCTATCTCAATAGCAGGTGGCTAAAGATGTAGTAAAGTGTGTAGTTACTGGCCTTCAGTAYTCTCTCAGCTTCCAGCAAGTTTCATTCTTGGGCTTGAACCAGATGAGTGTTTCTTTGGAATTCACAGTTGTTTGAAACATGTTCTTTATTACTCATTGTATCACTAAGCACACAAATTTATTGTGGTTCAATCCCTTCCTCTCCCCACTCCCATTTTTTTTGTTTATGTGGATAAACTACTTGAAGATGAATTGTATGTTCCCTTGAGCTGACAATAGATAGTTGTGGGAATATAGGGACTGTGTTAATGTGTTTAAGAAGGCGTATTTGTGATTACTTTTCAGTAAGCTTGTAGTATATGGTTAAAATGCAAAAAAAGGGAATAACTTAAGTGGATATTTGTACAGGGTCAGGTAGAGAAAAAAGACTTCTCGTGTCTCATGCTGACAGATGACAGTCCAACCAGAGTAGGCTGCAATCATAACAGACAAGAATTCCTATCGCTTTTATTTAAGAAGATTTAATGTGAGGTTATTAGTTTATGTAGAGTGTGTCAAGATAAAGTGAGGCATGTAGTCTTGTGTGTAGGGTTTGTGATAAGCAGAAGAGGGAGCCATGTATTGTAAAGCAGATTTCTCTGCATAATGATGCTAGGTAAAGGAACCTCCAAGATTATGCTTTTCTGTTACCCTTCCTTGTCTTGCTTGGATATAAGTAAAGTGATTTGTGTACCTAATACAGATAATTTTATGAGCTGCTGTCCCGAGGAAGCAGGTGACTGTGTTATTTTGGCTTGGCTTTGCAGCATTTTTAAACAAATTTCAGTGCCAGTACTTTGGAGTAGGGTCTGTAAGTCAAAACCTCAACAGGTTGTCCTGTGCTAGGTTGTAGTGGGCTTTTTAGCTAACGTAATGTTGACTAAAATGCAGGCTCAGGGCATTTAAGTGCCCTTAAGAGTTAACTTGCTTAACTCTTTTACTCAAAGACGTCATGTGATTTTGGTCTTTTGGTCTGCTTGAAGTGTGATTGCATCTACTTTTAGTGTTTTGAGCAAGAAAGCTGCACTGCGGTGCAGTGTGGTACAGTTATAGGTTCTGATGATGTGCACAACTTGTCCAGCCAGAAAAATCTTTTCCTTTCTACCTATGTAGCTATGTGGTGGAGGGCCTCCTTTTTAAGCAGAGATGACATTCATGCAGCCTCTGTGCCTTCAGCTAATTTTCGAAGTAACCTTGCCTTGCTCGTTCATATGCTGGCAGAGTTGAAGGACACCCCTGCAATGTGTGCCCGTGTCCGTGGTGCTCCGGGCAGCGCGGTGGCCGCAGTGACCGCAGAGATGTCGCTGCTCTGGTAAYCTGGGTAAACACAGAAGCTTCCCCCAACTTCATTGTGTATTTGCAGCAACCCGGGCTGTTTGGAGAAGCACAGGAGCTGCATGGGGGGTTGCTGCATCGGTAGGCATATTAAGTCACATTGTTTTCTGCAGTGTAGAGACATCTTAAGTGAAGTCGTAACTAGCTAACTTGTTTTAGAGTCAAATACTTTCTCATGGCCTGAAGTGATAACCTCGCTGAAAGTGGTCGTAACCCTCGCAACCAGTCTATCCAGATATTTCTGCTTTCTTTCCTAAATCGTTCTCTGTACTGAGCACAAAGAGATGACTCATACTAGGTTTTTAGTACGTGCTTTTGACAGCAGTGAATTCTGAAATGTATACCTTGTTCATCGTGGCACATGCTGAAGGATTAGGATAGTCTGCATAATTGAGCAATGCTGAGTTTTGCTTTCAGCTCCTGCKAGGTTTTAGCTGGACAGAGTTGTTCCTGGTGTTCAGGTTCACGTGGTCTCTGCAGTTGGTCCAAACGTCACCGTATGCAAGTTGGGTGATTGTTGGGAGCAAATAGCAGCTCAGGTGTTTCCCTTGGAGGCCCCTGAGGTTGATTTAAGCTCATCCTTATGGCAGGCGTACAGTTGTTCTTAAAACAGACCTGAGCTCACTCGTCTCGGGCAATGACTGTTAGTCACCTCCACGGAGAGGGACCTGGGAGTCCTGGTTGACACTAAGTTAACCATGAGTSAGCAGTGTGCCCTCGTGGCCAAGAAGGCCAATGGSATCCTGGCCTGCATCAGGAGGAGTGTTGCCAGCAGGTCRAGGGAGGTGATTCTGCCCCTCTACTCAGCTCTGGKGAGGCCGCACCTGGAGYACTGTGTKCAGTTCTGGGCACCCCAGTATAGGARGGACGTGGAGCTTCTCGAGAGGGTCCAGAGGAGGGCAACCAGGATGATTAAGGGAATGGAACATCTCTCGTATGAAGAGAGGCTGAGTGAGCTGGGCCTGTTTTCTCTGGAGAAGAGACGGCTCAGAGGGGATATGATTAATATGTATAAGTTCAGGAAGGGAGAATGCAGGGAGGAAGGGGACAGGCTGTTCTCACTGGTGGCCAGCGACAGGACGAGGGGTAATGGCCACAAGCTGAAACACAAGAAGTTCCGTCTCCAGGTGAGGAGCAACTTCTTTACTGTKAGGGTGACAGAGCAGTGGAACAGGCTGCCCAGGGGGGTTGTGGAGTCTCCTACTCTGGAGGTCTTCAAAACCCGCCTGGATGCCACCCTGTGCCACATGCTSTAGGTGTGCCTGCTTGAGCAGGAAGGTTGGACTAGATGATCTGTAGAGGTCCCTTCCAACCTTAAATATTCTGTGAATCTGTGAATCTGTGAGTCACTGTATGGAAGAAYGGCTGTCTCAGCCCAAGCCGTTCCAGCCCTTGCGTGGTGCGAGACGTTCAGGGTTTGTGGTCCTTCCTCCTCCTCGCCGCTCACAATGCTGCCYGTACTGGCAAGGGTCTAGCTGCTCMCTGGCATCCGTGCCTTCCCTCTGGGAGGGTCCCCTTAACCAGGTGCATTCGCCTGCAGGAGAATCCCATCTTGTGCTCCTAGGACGTGTTTGGTAGGAGTGATAACTGTACAAAAGGCAAGTGCCCTAACTGTTGTCACAGGGGAAGCAGCGGAGTGGGGCTCTCTCTGAACGTTTAGGACAAATGTTGACTTTCTTCTTCAGTGAATTCCAATTCCAATTGGAATCCAAATCCAAAATTCCAATTTGCTAGTCACTAGGTAATTCAGTACTTTAATCTCTGGTTCTTTCAGATGGGGACTGTTAGAATTATGAAGACTCGAGTGTTAGTATTAGCTCCAAATATTTTTTTTTGGACTGGAGAATTCTAGATTTTCTAACATATTCTCACAAATATGGTCAGACTGGGACATCTTATGTCTCCACTGCCTAAGAACAAATGCCCAAAACCTTGGGTTTGTACCTCAGCTTGCTAATTTCCCTCAAATAAGAACCAGCTTATTTGAATTCTGATATATCTGTGTAAAAACTTTTTTTCTTAAAATTTGAATTTAAGATTTTCTTAAAATCTTAAAGATTTTAAGATTTTCTTAAAATCTTAAATTGCTAGTTGACTTTCTGCTTCTAATAAGTGACCTGAGCTCACTTCGCAATATTCTGGGAGTTACTTTGTGAGGAGCTTCATCTTGAACTAGTGTGGATTCCTGAGGCTTTTCAGCCTCATTGTCATAAAGTGCTAGTTGTCGTATTTGGATTTTATCCATCATGTTCTCGCTGCTGGGACGTGATTGCTAATAAACAGGAAAGCAGTGGAGCACGGTGCCAAAAGCAGAACCTTCCTTGGTTACTGGGCAGGTGGCTCCAGTGCCTTTTTCTTTGACTGTAACAGGATTCCTGCTAGTGTTTCGAAGCAGACTTGCTGCTGATAGCTGTGCTTGCCTGAACTATTTTCTAATGCTGCCAATGGCCAATGTCCCCTCGTGGCAGATCTGCCCTCCGCGTGAGCGTTTTCCCAGGCTGCAGCTCAGCTGCATCTCCACTGAAGTACCTGACCTCTTGGTTCTTGCCCTGCCACACACATTTGCTCCCCCATCCCTCCAAGGGAGATGACGTGAATCCTCCTGCGTCCCGGAGCTACTGGGAAGAACTGTGAGCTTAATAGAAGTAAGATGCTGTAATGCAGGCAAACCCAGTGAGGACGGGATATCATCGTCTTGCTTCTCTTGCAYAGGAACAACAGGGTTCACTTTTCTGAGTTTTAACTTGAAGGCTAACTATGTCTGGCAGCTATTTTGACCTTCTGCGATCTGTTTCAAGGTAAATTAATGTGTCTGCAGCCTTCCATCATCTGAGCCAGGTAGAGCTTGACATACTTTAAAGCCCCTTGTATTTCTTGGACTTGACAAAACGKCTTCAAATATTTTGGTTTTGTTTTGAGGTGCTGAAGTCACTCTTCACATAAAATTGTAGCCTCGAGATCTTTGATTCAAAATGAGCTTCACGACTTAAGTTTTCCTTTGGATGAAGTGGAAGGGTTTCTGATGGGTTTCTCTTGGTTGATGGTGGCCATAGAGAGGAGCAGTTATGAGACACTGATCTGGCAACTTTGATAGATGGTGATTTTTTCACACAAAATGAGACTGAGTTGGCCTTTTTCAAGAGAGAAGGGTTGGAAGTTTGCTCCTGTGAGTCACATACACACACATTCCCTGCCCAGGACTATTCCTGTGCAGAAATTACAGTGATTTGTTGATAGCTGGCAAGCTCATAAATTCCAGAAAAAAAAAAAGGTAAAGATCAGGTAAATTTGGTGCTGTGGGTTTCTATTCCAAATGCAAACTATATCAGAAGTAGCAT